CCTAAAATGGACTAGGATATTCCAAATTTGGTTAAATCCTGCAGAATTTATGCTTTAGCGCCAAAATTACTACCTGTAAATTATCAACCTTGGCCTTATACTGATAAATCTTGGTCTAGTTTGCCTGTTGATTACGCAGGATCTTTGAATAGTGTGTACTACAAGTAAATCCCGGCGTTGCCTGGGAGTAAACTTCCTCTGAATGGAAGATCATAACCGCCAAACCCATTTTGTACACGCATATAAGGCTGAAATCTAGTAGAACTGATGGCTGCCCACGTAAAGAAACGTAATGTACACAAGTTGTCCCTATTCCTCAGCACAACGGAAGAAATATTGTAAGGCTTGAAAGGAAGCAATGGACAACCATGGTAGCATCAGCCGTTTGTCATTAATAAGACACCTCCAATTAAAAGTTGTCAAGTTCAATACGAAAACGGGCCTTAGGAAGATTTGGTGAGTTGTGGCAGATGGCTTTGTATTCCGATGGGATGGTTTTATTATCCCTGAGTGCAAGACATTACATGCAGTCCTATGTTAGCTGCAACGTAGTAAAACGCAATAACGTGAAAGGTAGACGTGTATTTAGCTCAAAAGACGGCGTTGCAACTACCGCAAACAGAACCACATAACAAAAGTATGGGAAGGTGCTGGGGTGAGTACTTGTAAGTGACACAATTTTTTTGTAATTTTTAATAGCCAGTTGAGGCGAGCATGAAGCGCACGTCGCGTTACCTGAAGCAGCGCTTATGGTGAGGGGAGAAACACACCAACGGTGTACGGCAGAGAATGGATATTATAACTCTGCATGCTGTTATTCTTTTAATGTCCCGCTTCTTTTTGCTGAGGCCTTAATTGCATGGACGCACTCGACTTTTCAGACAAACGAATCCACCTTCCCACGTATTGGCTTTGTGTTACAACTGAATATGGTTACGTGGTCGGCATATAAGTGCAAATGCAGCTATGGTGGGGTTTAAGTGATAAGGGAGCATCTGGTGAGCAAGACAACCTTTAATGAAATGTCTTAGTAATGGCAAGTGGATACTACGAAGACCTTTAAATAAACTGGGTTCAAAAATGAAGGAACCTACGATGCAGCTGACATAAAGATGTGTACATTGCGTTTAAACGTGACCGACCATGGGTTTTAGGACTTCTGCGTAGGTAATATTTTTAGCTTTGTTTGTTGGAGAGTAAACGTAAACGTTATCCTTACTCCCGACTCGGAAGCAGCCTACGTAAAGCTGTTCATAGGCGAAACACTGTTCACCTAAATGCAGACCCGCGACAATGAGCGTCTGTCCTTGCGATTTGGCCATTGTTGTTGAGCCGTGCTCGCCGTACCCCAGGGCTTTCTGAAGCTCTGGCATACGACGATTAGCGGTCTGCACAGGGTTTTCTAAAGCTCTGGCAGATGCAGTAGAGCTGGCATTTCTTAAACGACGAATAACGGTTTGTTGAGGTTGTTCCAAAACCCTGGAATTTACTATAGCCCTAGTATTCCTAAGACGATGCGAAGTGGTTTGTCCAGGGCTTTCTAAAGCTCTGTAGCGCTGGCATTCCTTAAACGCCGAAGGATTGTCTGTGTTGGGAACTTGGAAGCCCTGGCCCTAGAAACGCGTATTACGTCCTGTGAATTCTGTACTAAACGCTCTTCAGTTGAAAGTCTAGCGCGATGTGATGACATAACTGATGCTACTGATGCCAGCCTTTCAGTCCGTTCAGCGTTACTTTCCGTGGAGATGCGGGCAGCAGAGCGTGAGGCCACCTGAGAAAGGAGCAACGAAGTTTTCTCTGTGGTCTCACGTGCCCTTGCTGCTCTTGTAGCGGAGGCAGCAGCCATGAGCCGTCCAAAAAGTTTTCTTCTCTTAGGCGGCATTTTAACCAATTTTAAAAAGGCAACCGTAATAAAAGGTATGTAGGTATTTTGAGTGCAAAAAATACGTGTAGTCTAAACGTAGGCAGGTTAGAGGAACCCCCCAAATGTATGTAACTGTATCAAAAGGGGATCGAAGACAAAAAAGTGAAGTTTAAAAAATTCAGCTAAAGCTAAAACGGTGGTAGGTAATTTGTGAAGTAAATTCGATAAACGCGGAAACGGATGTAGTTATAACTAAAAAGTAATCAACAACTTGCGGTTTCCGTAAGAAGCGGATGAAGTGAGCCAAGTGCGGAACAGTAATCGCAGAAGTGTGAACACGCGCGTGAGTTATGGTATAAATAGGCGGTTGGCTGGTTGACCTTGAGTGCACATACTAAGGTGACGTACGTACGCAGGTGCACACGCGTGCGTAAGAGAATTACTCACGCGTATGATTGGATGGGCCCAAGGCTAAACGCTTGCAATCGTTCCAATGAGCTCGCAGCAACCTTGAACAGTTGACGCGATTGGTTAACCTCCAGGTGGGTTAGTCAAATCAGTGCGCAGTGGCGGATGACGTTTCAAAATAGTATCTGGCGACTTTATTGTATCGGTTTTTTTATTCATAAATATGAAAGCTATGTAGTTCTTTATCCTAAAATAGTCATTGACTTTTTGATTTACATCGTCACCGATGTAGCGCAGTCTCTCAAAGTCAGCCAATCAGAAAATGGGATTTTCAAGCTTCATTTTTCTTTGAAAATTTTGAGCAGCCAGGAGATATGAGGTGGTTTTTTTGATCAAAAGTTGAAAATACAAGCGTTTTGGCACTTCTTACGAACAAAATTTGAAGCAATTTTAATTTCGTTTACTGATGGATGATGAAGGTATTTAAGTAGCACGAATTTAGATGAAAATGTTCGAGAACGTTTTTAGGCAGCGATGTGCAGTAGTAAAAATATAGCGAGTAGGTGCCTTTTGCTAAACGTAAACGGCATGAAAAAACATAACATTCCCTCGGTGTCCTCTCGAATGAAAAAATGCAATCAAATGTGAAAAATTGGACAATTGGGAGGAGCTTAAAAGTGGTGGCGTGAAGTGGTATGAAATGATAGCTCACTGAATTCAATCCTATGCTTTAGTAGGTTAAATGGGCTACAAACACCTAAAAAGCAGCAGATTCTCCTTGTTTTTACTGATTTTTCTGGTAAAATCTGACATGTAGCTTTGTAAATTCCTTTTAAAATGGCTTTGACGTTTACTTTACTGTGCAAATGCAGAAAACATGGAAAGTAATGTATGCCTGCATTGAAACATTAAAAGATCCTTTTTAAAAACCATGGTATGAGCTTTAAATCCTGAAATAAATGTAGGCTACCTGAAACGTCTACCCCATTTGGGATGCTTGATGCGCGCACACATGACACCCCACCCCCGTTCACACATGATCTCGCATGACCCCGGAGCGTAAATGGGCCAATCAGCAGCAAGCATTACGCGTGACTAATAACACTAATCCGATTGGCTTTTGGAGCGCAAAGTTCGGCTGCGACAGAAATTATTCATTGTGATAACTTTTACATCTGAAACCAAAATATGGCCATTCTTGTCCTTTCTTATTCCCATATAAGCACTTAATCCGACTTTTTTCCAATTATGCTACCGCTATTAATTCTGACATGAAAAGTGTCCATATCTGCTTGTGTGCAGTGAACGCACATAATTACATACGCGTGCGTCCGATCAAAAATGAAAAATCGATAATATTGATTTAAATATTGACTTAAATCAATTTTGGCGTCGTCAAAATCTCTGAGGGGCCATTAGCAATAACTATGTCAAATTTGGTTGAAATTGGTTGAAAAATGTAGGAGATCCGATCAAACATATAAACGAATACACACACACACACACACACACACACACACACACACACACACACACATTCTGCCTTTTATATATGTATAGATTATTCGGAGAAAGTTTTTCTAAATGGCCTGAAATATTTAAGTGTAGAAGGCCTAATTCCACTGTAATTCTAAATGATCTACATGAAATCTTGCTGCCGTGCCTTCAATAACAAATAGTAAGGTTTTACTAGATAGAGTTACTAGCCTCGTGCCTAACCAGTTTCAAATTTAGAGTTTACCTTCTCGTAGACTGGTCACCAACCACAGCTAAAAGGCCCAGTCAGCTCTACTATTTAACTCATAGCTAGGTGAAAACTGATGGATTTATACCTTTCACCAGGGTATCTGCGCGTAAGTGAATGCAATTAATTCGACTAGAATTGAAACTTGACTTTCCGATATCTTACTTCAAGCCGCAATTCATTACACCACTCGTACATCTGTGAAAACATGATCTCTGTCAACATAGTTCACGAAGAAATGTGCCAAGAGCAAGTATTAGATATAAAAATCCATGATACTCTGAGTACGGATTCATATATGGAAAGTGAACTATTTAATTCCATTACTAATAATAGTTTTACACACAACACACACATATATATATATATATATATATATATATATATATATGTGTGTGTGTGTGTGTGTGTGTGTGTGTGTGTGTGTGTGTGCACGTGTGTGTGTGTGTGTAATATATATATATATATATGTGTGTGTGTGTGTGTGCACGTGTGTGTGTGTGTTATATATATATATATATATATATATATATATATATATATATATATATATATAAAGAGTAGGGTTTAGTGGGTTAGATTGGATATGATTGTGTGAAGTTTTAACAGCTGCCGAAAGCTTAGTACCATGCTCAGTCGGCAGGGGCTGAGGACCGTTTTTTATGGGTTGTTCCCACCCTGTAAACACAGCATGTCTGTTCATTCATACACAGTTAAGTGTTTCTAAAACGATCGCTCATTACCGATGGCCAGTGATAACAGATGGTGGGAGGAAGACAGGAGAATATTCAGATAAACAATGGTGGATGTGCATAGGAAGTTTCTCTCTGTGTGTGCACATTTCACAGCCATGAACGGAGACCACTGACATCAACCAAATGAATGTGTATTCTCTATTGACCTTAATTAAAATGCTTCTAGATAACGTCGGGAAAAACTTCAAGTTAATTGTATCGTAACGAATATTAATGCTTGTTTTCATATTTATGTTGCAACTGTGTGCGTCAGAGAGGGAGGGAAAGACAAAGAGAGGGAGAGTGAGGGACAGAGAGGGAGGGAAAGATGAGTGAGCGGGAAAGAGAACGGAAAAGCGAGAGAGAGAGAGAGAAAGAGAGAGACGTGGGTGGAGATGAACGAGCGGAAAGAGAGAAAAAGCGGAAAAGAGAGAGCGGAAAAGAGAGATGGAGAGAGACGACCGAGTGGGAAGAGAGAGAGAGGGGGGAGAGGGAAAGTGAGGGAGAGAAGGAGAGATGATTGAGTGGGAAAGAGAGAGTGGAAAAGAGGTGAGAGAGAGAGAGAGAGAGAGAGAGAGAGAGAGAGAGATGAACGAGCGAGAGGGGAGACAAGCAGAAAAGGGAGAGTGGGAGAGATGATCATGCGGCAAAGAGAAAGCGGAAAAGAGAGATAGGGAGAGACGACCGAGTGGGAGAGAGAGAGAGAGAGAGAGAGAGAGAGAGATTGAAAAAGAGGGAGAGGGAGCGATAAGCGAGTGGGAAAGAATAAGGAGGAGGTAGAACAGGAAAGAGAGAGAGAGAAAGACAGAAAGAAAGAGAGAGATGAGCTAGCTAGACAAAGAGGCGGCATCAAAGAGAATAATGGTGTTTTAATTTGCTTAAATGTCACTTGGATATGGTGATAAAAAGCAACTCATTCGAAACACTTATTTACCATGTGGTAAATATATAAGACAATTTGGAAAACTTGTCTTTTGAAATGCTTCGTCGATGGATCGGCGTCATCTGACAAATGGATTTCATTTCAACAAAATTCAAATTAACGAGACAAAACGCTATTCATGTTGAGTATATGAAGGCTAGATTCTTATTATTCGTTTTAGAAATTAGATTTTACCTACTTTTTTTATAGACTTTCCTATTAGAAAATGTGCGCGTGATGGGCTTAGTGGTTGGTTGAAATTAAGTAGACGGCCTGCTGAGAGAAGGTATATAGGCCGGCGGAGAGAAGTCCCGTTATTTTTGCTTCTACATTCGGAGTAACAGAGGAAGAAGGTTTATAGTCTCGTCCTTTTATAGTCCTGAACAGCGTCGCCTAGCGGATGTCTTGGAAGATAAGTCATGGGGGGTTTGATCTTTCCCCCTACTTTTCATGCCTTCAGGATATTCCTTAAATTTTAAATTCTCTAACCTAGCTTACCTAATGATATGTACCAATCATTTTCATCTACTACTTATTGTAAGTATCCATTTCCTTTTAATCATTATATTTCACATTGCTCATAGATTCCGTCAATGTTATTCTTTGTAGTTGTCGGCAAAACCACATTTCTGTTGTTGTCACTTTTAATTCTTTTCATATGTGAACTGAATGTTCAGCATTCACTGACATGTAGGAGGTTAGATATAACGTTGTCGTTCAGCACACTTTTCTTTGTTTTTAAAGACATTTTTCTAATTTTTTTACAGTAATGTTTACTCTGTACAAGACTCCGGGGGTGGGGGGCACTCGCGGTAAAGGGTTACGTTAGGAGGCAGTTTCTACCTTTACAGAGGGGGCGGGGAAATACCGGTTAACCCTAGACTTGAAAAGGTTAAGATTGTAGCAATCAGGGAAACATCTTAGGAGTCGCTTCGCGGGAAGTAGCTGTTCGAGAGGAACTGTCTTTGTGGGGGAATGTCGGTTGTTTGCTACACTATAAGTAGCATGGCGGGTCCTAGCCATGAAGGTCAGACCTGATGGCACCAGGAGATCCAGTTAATCCGAGCACTTTCAATAGGTAATTTCTTCACCTGTTCAATTTTCGACGTCTTGAATACGTACCTAACACCCTGACAACAGAACAATTATCCAGCATTTACAAAATAGAAATATAGTAGTGCATTTCACTATCTGTCTATATTTCTGAGATGCAGTATTATGTACATTATTTACATTATTCGGACTATTGTCCTCATCCTTGTCGCCATATTTATTAAAACGTTTCGGCCGTTGTACGCTCCGGCCTTCTTCAGAGGGAAATTTACAGGAGATAACTGATAACTGACATCCATTAAACATGGCACGTGGAACTAGAACAGTCTACCCCAGCGATCGAAATAAAGGGTTCAGTTCGAAATTCCAACCACCTGAAGAAGGCCGGAGCGTACAACGGCCGAAACGTTGTGACAAATATGGCGACAAAGATGGGGACAATAGTCCGACTAATGTAAATACATTACTACGGATATTATTTTACTGATTTTTTTTATTGGTTTATATAAATATTATGAAAGTATTATAAGTCTACAATTGCTAGTCTGATCATCAAAATATTTTACCTAGTATAGGATGTGATATTGCGTTGGTGCATAATTATCAGGCTTTTTAAAACAATGTTTATTATGAAAAAAGTAACACAACAATTCAACAATAACATTTTTAAATGATTATCCCGGAGCGTATGATTATCGACACGTATTTTTATAACCTGAAAATAAAATAATATTTTTACTAAAAAAAGTAAGCAAAACAACAAAATTTATTAACAAATAGTTCGCCTACAAAAAACGCATGACAATTATGCACCAAGCCAATAATTAAAATTGGGTTGTATAAAATGGAATGGAATTCTTTAATCGTGCCAACAGCTATAAAAATACAAAATCACAATTCATTTATATGACAAAAAGACAAGGAATGTTGTTGCTGAACAACAGAAGATGTAAAAATACGTTAGTCGGCGGTACATTTGTATGTGGTGTCCAGCACAAAATTATTTTCTCTAGTATCCAAAGAAATCATTACGAGTTATATCGGCATAAATACGATAAAAAGTAAAAAAAAAAAAAAGCAAATTACACAATGAAGTTTCATTAAATGCTTCGTTACTCTAATTGGTTTTTCTTTCTTTAAAATGACTTTTGTAGTTAAATTAATGTACCTGGAAAACAACCTAACCAAAATAACTAAACTAATTTGATCGTTAGACAAGTACAGCTGTTAGTCATGCAAGGGAGATAATCATGTTTATTTTAGAAGGTTTAAAACTCATAAATTTTTCTTTTCAACATTTTCATGAATAAACTATGTTATGAAGATCCGATTTCTGTTTCTGCGCGGTTTGTTATCATGGCTTGGATAAATGAATGAAGATCTTTGTGAGCTTCCTCCACATCTGTTACAAGATCTCAGGTGGCTTTTTTTTTATGCCTACACGAGAGAAGCATGTTTTCCTACAAAGACTGCAGCAAACAATTTGGCAGCTGGCGAAGACTAACCTCTCGGAGTTGCCTCTTATGCACTTTTTTGTGGCTTATATCGGCCAGGGTTGTTGCCTGATATATCCTGTGCTATCAAGTCTTCTTGACGCGTGCTTCTGTTTTCCATTGACGGTGGTCAAGTCCATGAGTCGTGAGTACCCATTTCAATGAGTTTTTTTTCTCTTCAATGGGATCATACTTTACCGTCGTCAAACTAGTTCTCTACATTGGAGGGTTTATTAGAAAAAGAAGAAAAAATCAGAACATTGTAACGCGATTTTTGATAGAGCAATATTATTACAAATGCTCTAACTTAAAAAAAATGGCGCAGTTACCAGCCTAACTGATAACTTAATAATAATAGTGTGGAGTTTACATTCGCTACGTTGCTTTTATATTTGTTACAAAAAATGAAAAGAAAATTTTATCAGCATTGAAAAAAAGTTGAAAAATGGTGTATGAAATTATGTCGCCCTTGAAATAATTATGCAGATACTTTATGAATAAATTATTAAAAGTGTTTTTATGGGAATAAGTTTAATTTGCAAAAATAATCCTTATTTTATGGGCTGATACCATTCTTGGTTATTTTATGTAAGAATTTTGTTTTCCTTTTTCTCTCCCATATAACTTTGCAGATTTTATGGTAACGGTGAAATTAAGTATTTCCGAGCAGGCATTCAGTGACCGAAGAATTAGCGTTGATGTTGGTTGAAATTTATAAAATCTTTTCCGGAAAATATATTTTCAGGAAATTGCCATTCTTCAGTTCACTGTTATCGCACTTTCTAGTATTGATGGTGGGGGGGGATTATTTTCATAAAGTTTTATTGCAAGACAAAACGTTGAAAAGAATGTATGTTTGAAAATCATTTGATATTCAACTCCTGTTGATGAGGGATTACTAAGAGTACACGTAAAACTAACATCAGTTTCAAATGCAGTTAAAGTCTAGCTAATTATGGAGTTCCCTTTTTTATTTCTTTGCAAATAATTAGTTCTGAAACTGGATAGTCACACGAGAGTGAGTTTAACGTAGGCGTGAATATATAATATGTAAAATTGTTCGTAAAGGTTTGTTGCTATTAAATATGATCTACAGTGTTTATATCAGGTGAAAAACGGATTGAAAATGAAATTTAGTTTCGACGATATACTGGAAATAAATTCAGATACAACTAAATGCAATTCGTTTTGCAAAAGAAAGACTAGGTATATATATATATATATATATATATATATATATATATATATATATATATATATATATATATTGTTTCATGTTTAAATGAAATCTTCAGGCCAAGTGTGTTGTGTTTTGACTCAGCTAACAATATGTTCCGGTCAGTGGTGCATTATTGGTAGAATTATTGGTAGCATTATATAATCCTAAAGGCGGTAATGTTTATGTTTAAAATTATTCTATAGGCTATTGAGTAGGAGTAATTATGGAGTAATTATGGATCGGAATACGATCATTTTACCTATTTTATTGAGTTTATATATATATATATATATATATATATATATATATATATATATATATATATAATGTGCATGTGCGTGTTTGTGTGTGTGTACATGTGTGTAAAAGTATGATGATGGTCAACTTCACGATTCAATGTCATCTTCAGATGAAAACGCCATTGATGCATCCAACTGACAGTTGATTCTTGATTGATGTTGATATGCATGCAATCTCTACACTGTCTATATCTATATGGCCTCTGTCTTCGATATTGATCGTTTTTCTTCTATGAATTTTAACAATATATATATATATATATATATATATATATATATATATATATATATATATATATATATATATATATTGAAAAAGAAAGACATCTGGGTCATTAACACACTAAAAAGAGAATGTCTCATATCGAGAATATTTAACATCGAAAAACGTAAGAAAAAAATTAATTATATTTTAATGATATGTGGAAATCTCCACGCTTTGCTTGATGAAGGTCGCGAGACCGGAAACACATGTAATAAAATTATGGTAAATAAAGCATAATATTTTTTAAAAAATCCACATTACAACCAAAAACGTTTACGGTTTCTCTGTTCTTTTTAATATACACACTTTTCTCTCGTTGGAACTACTATAATATATATTATATATTATATATATATATATATATATATATATATATATATATAAATCACTTCGACCCCAAACAAAGCGATAATACCACTAAGAAGCAACGTGTTACTGGCAGTGAAAGAGAATGAGAAGACTTTAGTGTGAAAAGCGGATAATATAAGGAGATATTTTGTTCCTGGATATCAATTCAGAGAACGCCTCCTGAAAATATTTATAGAAAAGAACCAAAGTCACTGCTTTGGGAAAGTGACAGAAGTCAAGATCCTAGATCT